TCACTTTATCGTTTTACAACTCGCTACAGCTACTCACTACATATAATACCACTACGGTTGAAATCAAATCGATACAGAATAATAATCGAAATAATACGCGTTCGAGCGACGATCCCCTTTCTCCGCAAGTTTCCGAACCTTTGTTCTCACTTTCTTCTAAGCTAAACTAATCGCTCGTCGTATTCGACGAGCGTAAACTCACGGAAAAAAATGTCACGCGTAGGTACGAATACTTTCGTTCATCTCCTTTAGAAGGTTTCGTGTCCTGAAAAAAGGTTGGTCAAGTAAAAGTGTCGGAGAAGAGACTCGACTGCTTCTCGTTAATTAATACGAATCACTGAAACGTAAGAACGTGTGTGCTCAATTTTCCCCGCGTTCCGTAACTTCTTGTCCATCTTTTACGGGCAACGTATGTAATGATCGTCAAGGAAACGCGGGACAAACGCCACGAGAGAATAAAAAAAAACGAAAAGGAGAATACAGAGTTACGTACACGGTGTACGGTTAATGGCGCACGTTCGAAGGACAAAAACCGGAGTATCCGAGCATCTGAAACGAAAGGCAAGAGAGAGAGAGGGACGCGGTACTTGAAGGGGACAAGGAAAAAAGAAAGATTGAAGACAAGCGATAACGGTAGGAGGGAACTAGAAATAAAAAGAAGAAAAAAACAAAATGAACGAAGAAAGTTGTTTTGCTAGACTCTATCGTCATTGTCATGCTTTAAACGGGGCTCTCCTTAAAGCGAATCTCCTCCATTTCGGGAGGCATAAATATAAATATAAATAAAAATATATATATACATGCATGCATGCATGCGTGCTCGCGTGCATGTGTGTGTGTGTCTTTTTTTTGTGTGTGCGCGCGTGTGTCTGTGTGTGTGTGTATATATTGTGAGAAAGAACATCTGCCTAACCACGGAAGGAGGAAAGAAGAGAAGAAAAAAAAAAAGAGGAGGGAGAGAACATGACACGCAAGGGTACTAGGAAAGGGGCTCGGGGGGAAAAAACAACGTGAAAGCCGTGTTAATCGAGTCTGTTCGAAAAATTAACGTGTTCTTTTTTCAGACCTCGAGGCGAACAAAAATTAACAAACAGAGGAGGGAGGGGGACGACACGTTCGTTTTTCACTTTCTCGACAAAATGAAAACGCGCCAGCAAACCGTATCACGATCGGCGATCATCATCGTCCTTCGATCTAAACTACGGGGTGTTCAACAAAAGGTGACACTTTTTCGAAAGGTACAGACAACGATCGTGGTGTCCTCCCCTATTTAAAAAAAAAACAAAAAAAACTGCGCGCTCGTTGCGAGAGGAAGAGAGAGCGACGAAACCAGCTCCCGCGCAAAACTGTCTCGTTTCTGGATCCACGTGTGAAACGAACGAAGAGTTCAAGGATCATGTATGCATATACATATGTATGTATGTATACATATATATATCTCGTCGGAGTTTGTCGAGCTAAAGTTTCACGTTCCGAGAACTAACAATCGAAAAATGACGGACAGTCTAGGAAGAACCGTGTCACAGAAAACCGGACGGTTACGTTGTTCTTTTCACGACCCATACATATATATATATATATAGAAAAATAGGTGCAGAGATTGTATGATGATATCAAGGGGTACACATCCGAGGTTGTTTCTTGGGGAGACACAAAAGAAAAAACGTTCCTCGTGAGTTTTCCATTTTCGAGAAAAGTGTTTACAGGGAAAAGGAGGAGAATCGGGGACGATACGGAAACGAAGTTGCGTTCGTATACAGGGGAGTGGGGGGAAAAAAGAGAAGAGGTACACTAGGAAATACAAGGGCGGGGGAGAAAAAGGAAGAAGAGTGGTTTTTTTGGGGGGGACGGAGGGTCGGGAGGTAGGGGTGGAGTGACTAGCGGCGGCGAGCTCTACAACTAAACAACAACAACAGTATTTTCAGTTATATAACAACATTAACAAGTAAGTTTCTTTTTATCGCGTGTACGCGCTTACACGTTTTGCGTTTCCTCATGTGTTTAACGCACGTTTATAATAAAATGATGGGCGTTCCAAAGTCGTTTTGCGCTTTTCTCTCATTGTTATTTATCAATTTCTTTCCTTTCTTTTCTTTTCCTGTTTTTCTTTTTCTCCAAGCGAGCAATAGTTTTCACACGCGCGCGCGGTACGCGCGCCTCGGCAGCAAGTCCTCTGCGTGCGTGTAAGTCACCCGAGCGCCATTCCCTATCAGGTATTATTTTGTTTCGTATTCTTTTCAATTCTCTCACTTTTTTCCTTTCTTCTTTTCCTGTTCGTTTCTTCCTTCTCTTTCTCTCTCTGTTCGGCGTTAACTTCGGTGTTGCGTTCTCGCTTCTCAGAAATACTTCGATGCGCGCGTACTCGCATCGAAGAAACAAAGAGAAAGAAAAAAAAAGACGTCGCGAGTTCTCGAAGTTCCTTTTTCAGAATGGCGGTGGCGCAGCAGACGCACGCGTGCGTGTCAGAGCGCCTTCATAAATTTGACGCGGGTCGCGCGTGATCCTAGGTGTCGTTACCGTGTTGGACACAACCCCGGCGTTTCGTCTACACTTTTCCTTCCATTTTTGTTCCAGCGTACACAGTTCGTTTATCGATCAAGGAGAGACATTTTGGATCGCGCGTACGCGCGCGCAATTCGCAATGAAATGTCATGTTGAATGTTCGACAGGTATGTATGTATGTATGTATGTATGTGTGTGTGCGTGTGTGTGAAATCAACGCATTTTCGCTCGCGTGCGCTTGCATTTCGTTCTCGTCTCGTAGTAGCGGTAGGTAGTAATCGACGTTTATTAAACGGGAGTGAGGTGGGTCGAGCGGGCGAAGGTAGATAAGCAAAGTGAGCACGAGCAGTGATGATAGATGGGCGAAGAAGAAGATAGGCAAATGTAAGTAAAAAAAAAAGAAAAAAAAAAGAAAAAGAAAAAGATCGATGAGATCCTAGCCTTTGCGACCGTCGAGAAAACAACAATGGCGATAAAAACGTGTGGCGGAGGCCAGGACGACAAGCGAGGAAGAACGACGACGATCGGCAAAGATCATCGCCGTCGTCGCGATCTGTCGCTGTTTTACATGCCGATCGGCGGTACTTGTACGTAACGATAAATGTAGAGTCGATAATCCTTGCTGGCCAATACGACCGATCCGTCGTCCATTAATGCGACATCGAAACACTGAGCGTGCTTGACCTTGCTCTCGAGAGCCGACACCAGCTGACCGTCTTGCGTGAAGATCGTCAGATTGAAGTTATTGTGATTGTCTGCTATTAGTATCTCGCCAACGGCGTTGATTCCTACACCGATCGGGTAGTTTGTGATCCCCTCGCCGCCGATCTGACGAAGATAGGCGCCCTCGTAATTGAACACCTTCACGCAATGGGCGCGATTGTCACTGATGAAGATCTCCTGTTTGTCGTTCACGACAACCCCGTTAGGGAACTCCAGATGCTTCGAACAGCCGAACTTCTGTAGAACGTTACCGGCCTGATCGAAAATGATCACGCGCATCACTTTGCACTCAACGACGACTATGCGCCCCTTCGAGTCGACCGTAACACCGCGCGGATGCTGCAATATGTTCGCCCCAAATTTCCTCACGAACTGGCCGTACTGGTTGTATATCTGTATCTGATGCGTCGGCGAGCGTTCGGTGACGACTATGTCACCGGAGGTTTTCACTACAGCCACGCGGTTCGGATAAAGCAACTGACCGTCTCGTTTACCGCACTCCCCGAACTGAAACTTAAATCTACCCTCTTTGTCGAATATCTGTATACGATGGTTGTTCGTGTCGGCTACGATAATGTCGTTCTGCGCGTTCACAGCTACACCGGACGGCTCGGTGAACTGTCCCTCCATAACGCCGAACTCGCCGAACTTGCAATGATAGATCATCTTCTGCCGCTTGATCTGCGACTTCGGCGGGAATATCGCCGCGGCTGACATCAGTTTGGACGTTAAGTCGAGTACGGAGTCACCGGAGCCTGCGTTAGCAGCGACAGCGACAGACGCCGGCATCGGGAAGTGATCGTTCGTGGTGACCACAGGATAAGAATCGCTACCTCCGTTACTCCACTTCTCGTACGGGTTCGCGTTCAAACCGTTCAAATTCAGATCGCTGATCGTTGTGGAGAACGGGCCCAGGCTGTTCGCCGAACTGAAACGCTTAGTGATCACCGTGCTGTTCGTGTCGAAGGACGACGGCGAGGTGGAGGATGCGCAGGTCGATGCTGAGGATATCAAACCGTTGCTGTATGGTCGGTCCAATAGAAGACCGCCCAAAGATGCGCCGTTACCAGGTCCGCTGTTAGCGTTATTTCCACCGTTACCGTTACTCGACAACGCTGTTGGCCGAGCGATAGGCGGTTGCTTCCCGAGCGAGCCAGCGTTGTTCTCGTTGTTGCTTCGAACGTAGCCAAACGTGTTCCGTACGCCTACTTGTATAGCTTGGTAATTACTGACAAACTCGAGATCGACCGTTTGATTAGCAACGTCCGGCGTGTAACTCAGCAACCATTGCAGCTTCGTATCGAGCAATTTCTTAAACATCAACACCTCGGTAACAGTGGTGTATTTCGTTAGCCGTTCGACGAATTCGCAAGTCTGAAGCATCTTCTCGGCCATATCGTTCGCTTTCTGCGTCAGCACACCGAGCGAGATCTGTTTGCTGGAGAATACCGATTCGAGCTCCTTCAGTAATTCCTGTTTCCGCTCTTCGAGCATCGATCTGTAGAACTGGAAAGTGTCGTTGATTTCGTTCTGCGCTTTGTGATACTGCACCTGTAATCGCGCCGCGCCGTGATCAGCCGCCTTTACAGCGGCCCTCACGTCCGCAGCCTTCGCTCTACACTCTTGAACCACTCTTGTTATCGCTTCAAGCTGTTGCGTGCCTACCTCGGATATGTGAGCGCAATCGTGCAACGGCCCGGGATGATCGGTAATTGCACACTCTTTGCAGACTAACGACGTACACGAGCGGCAGAAATACTTGAGCAATTCTTGCTTGTGCCGGGGACAGTAAGGTACTTTCTCGCCGTTGCTGTTACCGCTGCTGTTTATTATCAGATTGTTCTTCGGTATCTCGGTGTTCGAGGAATTACTTGTCACCGTTTCGAGCTTCGAGTCGCCTAAATTAAGGACACGATGGCCCTCGAAACAGTGCATAAACTGGTGTGCCATCACGCAGTTCGGGCAAAGGAAATTCGCACAGTCGAAACAACGAGCCACAGCGTCGGATTCGGTAGATTTGCAGCCGGTACAGCGAACGCCGCCGGCGCCTCCTAATCGGCACCGCGGACAGGGCGCCTCTCCAGGTTTCTGTGAGTCAAGGCAAAGGTCGCAGCTGTCGACGTCACAGATCGCCGAGTCACTAGCAGGTGGAGAACTGCCGCTCACTGTAAGCGGGGAGAGTGAAGCCAGGGAACCGATGGAATTCGCGCGCGATTCCAGCGAGAGTGTCGGCGAGGCCATCTTCAATCAACCGGCATCCCTGTCAACAGAAACCAATCGTTCTTTTTATATATGCGTTACCTTCCTTACGGACCTGTTGCATTTTATCTTAATTAGAGCTGTTCGACAATTTCGACAGAGGTAACAAGTAAAATTAGACATTCGTACACGTATTATCTACACACGTTATCCTGAGACGTGCAAAAATAGGTAAAATTTGGGAATTCTTTTTCATAGAAAGTTTACACTTTTTCGGAGGGTATAAATGTTACTTACAGCTTTTCTCTTCAATTTTTTAAAACTACGAATGTTACGAAACGGAGGAGTTATGCGCTAATTGCGAAACCTTGCCAAAACTTACCATCGCTGGCAAGGATTGGAACGTCAGGAATACAAAATTCTTTTTTATTTATATATCATCACATTGTACCAAAAAAAGAAAAAAAATTCAATCGGTCCAGGAACAACAGAATTATTTAAGGTAATCAGGATACGTGATTCACCCTTTATTCAAACAGTTCTTGACAAATATCCATAAAAATGGATTAATAAATATTCATTAACAAGTATGATACAATTCCATGTTCTTCCAAGTATACACAAGGTATGTGAACGTGACTACTTAATTACGTACGAATTTTTGATACTTGCGCTTTTATCTGTTTATACAGGGTGTACCCAGGTTTTAACGGCCAAACGTTGCCAGTATATTCCATGGGTGGAAATTAGAAAAGAATGTTATACAAACGTAGGTCTTTTGAAGCTTTATTAAAAAGTTACGGCAATAATACGAAATTAAGCGGACAATAGTAGAATCACGGTTACAGCGCGAAGCAACTAATACTCTATCTCAAAAACGTCCACCGTTTACGGCAATGCAAGACTGACATCAGATTACTCTGCGAATTTCGTTATTATTTTGTCTCATTTCAGTAAATGCATCGTTGATTTTTTGTGTCAATTCAGTACGCGATCTTGTAAATATCGTGCAAATATCGATGATCAATTTCTGTATTACACCGCAGTAGACCGTGATACTGCTGTTCTTCTCTTGCCGTAACTTTTTAATTTCCACCCACGGAATATACTGACAACGTTTGGCCGTTAAAACCTGGGACACCCTGTATATTAAATCGTCTAATTATCCACTTTAATACATAAGCACAAATGAAATACAGTCTTTTAAGAATAACTTATTCTTATCTGAACATGTGAGTGCTATATGTTACGCTGACAATACTCGTTCGTAACAGCAGACTATACCGGGTGTCCCACTTTTTCCCGACCAAACTTTGCCAGTACCTTCTATGGGTATAAGTAAGAAAAAAATGTTATACAAACACATGTCGTTCGAAGCATTGTTAAAAAGTTACAAGAAAAATAAGAAATTACTGTCCCCTTCGTATTTCCTATTATTGTTATAACTTTTTAACTAAGCTTCAAACGGCCTATGTTCATATAACATTTTCCTCTTACTTATACCAGCAGAACGTGTTGTCGAAGTTTGATTCGAAACAATTTGGACACCCTATAGATACCTGAATGCTGTGACCGCTTCGCGGCGAGCGAGCGTAGTCTCTCGTAAAAGCAAAAAAGGTTAAATGGCAATACAATACCAACCGATTTCCTCTCAATAACCACTCTTCTGTCGGGGAGAATATTTCAAAAGCAACATTTACATCATTAAACCAAATCTGAAGCAGTGAAACGTTTGCTGCCGACACGCTCCTGATAATCGTTCCGCGTAATCAATAATTGAAATATCGACGAAAAAAAACAGGACGATCGTCGATGGAAAGTTCTTCTAATTAAATTGCTCGATTGAACACGCTTCGCTCGAGTACGCTTCAACCAGGACAGAGATTAAAGAGGAGAAACGGCGCGCGAATGCTGGAAAAGAGAAGGAGGTCCACGCGCAGCCGGCGAATCTCTAAGATCGCAAAGGCGAAGATGTTCCTTTCCTGCTCGGTCACACGAGTGAATTTTATCATGTTTTCCCCGTAAAAAGAAACGAAGGCAGAAGGAAGAGATCGGAGAAAGAAGCGTGTAAAAAAGAGAATAGGCAAATGGGTAGAACAAAGAGCGTCTCGTCACCGCACCAGGAAACACTTCTGAAGTCAGGCTACCTACTCTTCTGTCTGGTACGTGGTATCTTCGTGCAGGAATTTCGATTGAGTCTCGAGATAAAAGGTGAATGCTCCTAAGGGAAACACACAGACCGGAGGTCGCCGGAAAGTAACATTTAACATGGCGGAACATCCAAGTGAACGTTAAATTTCCAGAAAGAAGAGGTAGAAAAAAAAAAAAAAACACGGAACACCCGTTATTTCGGTTTTAATTGCGAACCCATTAAACCCGACCACAGTTTACCATCTAAATAGATCGCATCGCGAAGAGATCACAGGAACAAGCAGAAAGTGAGAATTTTGATGAATAAATCGCGACCAACTATACACTTCCAACCTGTCCAATTAGAATTCAAGTTGCGCAACTTTCCGACCAAAAGAAAAAAGACACTCCTAAAATAAGCAGAACGTCTAATTCACTCTCGCATAATTGAAGAACACCCCACACGTTACCACGCCGCGACACACACTTTACAGCCACGTGGGTGATAACGAACGTTACACTTCATCAAAATCGATCGAATCACACCGAGGAGGCGCGTTAATCGAGCAATAAAATATTCATCAAGGATGCGTTCCCCGGGTAATTAATATCTTCGCGAAGGTACAATACAGCGAAGAGGAGAAAAGAAATATCAAATGTGGAAAATTCTACGGTGGCACAATGATGGGAAATTATGAGTTGGACGAAAGGAAGTGTACGAAAGGAAATGACAGATAGAAAAGGGTGGAAGGTGAGGAGGGGAAAGGGGGAGTGGGGGGGAAAGGAGCAGCGGGGTATCGAAGGAAAGAGGAGAGGAGAGAATGGGAGAAGGGAGGGGGGAGAAAGGATGGGGAGAAGAAAGAAGAAACGGAAGTGGTTGAGATAGAGAGGAGCGTGGTGCCGGAGCTAGAGTACGTGCACCCCGATCAATGAACATCGTACAGGGGTCACACGCCGTTTCCCCTCCCGGTCCTTGGCTACTTCTAGAAGCCTGAAATGTATCGATTCCTTACTCCCCCTCCACGTCTCTCGCAGCCAGAGATAGCTAGAGCCTGAGAAGAACGAAGAGGGAGGAGGCGAAAAGTATACCTATAGCGCTATCCGGTACGATCTACGACCTTGGTGGAGAAAGGTCTCGAATCGGTCTTGCAAGTCATGAGAATAATCCTCCCAGCTCGTCAGCCGACCCTCGTTATTCTATTTTAAGTCGAACCGAACCAACGCGGGTTCGCTTTTTGTTTTAGAACGTTTTCTTTATTGTTATATTACTGCTCCATGTTTAACTGGGAGGTGATTGAAAGTCGCGTCTACGGGGTGTTTGCGAAGCAGGAATTTCGGTTCCAACGATGGTGCAGCTAGAAAATTGATCGGTGCGGAATTAACGGAACCGGTGAATACTTTTTTATATTATC